AAACGCAGAATTGTTTTCCATTCATTTTACTTGAAACAGGATGAGGATAGGTAAACAGTTGAGACAGGTATGGAGACCTATGAAATTCAGCTTAAAGGATGTGGTCGGCATCGCACACAGGTCGTGTTCTGTTCTGTTCCCTTCCTGATATGCCAGGTATATTCGCTTATTTAGATCGGTGAAATTTCAGTTCATTTATATAATCGTTTAGAGAGCCTGCCTCTTCCACCTAGGTAGGGAGCTTACAGTATAAACAAGATTAATGATGCTAGGAAGTTTTACTCCCTAACAACCTTGAATGCTGGAAATCTAAGTGGATGGGAGGTGGGGGGAGGAACAAATGAAGCTCTCTAATCACTTTTGCCGCCTCTCCCTCCAATTTTCCTAAAAACCAGTGATATTCTGCCCTGCTTATTCCCCAGTTGCTACAGCGTGTTGCAACACACACATCCTTCCCTCTCTCAGCAGGTGATATAATGAGTTTGTCTCTTTTAGATACTTGTAGCCCTCAAACACCTATCATTTTACCATGCTAGTTGGGGTTCATGGGAGTTGGGCGTTACCGTAAGGACGGGAGCTTGGGTAACAGGCTGTGCACACCAGGAAGTTTGTGGCAAGGGGAACTGCAGTGTCTCCAACAAGTTCTCGCTCGCTCTGCTTCTCTGCTCTCGGCGCAACTTTTCTTACCCCACAGCCACACTAGGGGCTTGGCCGCATGTCCACCTGCGCCATGCTGTTTCCCCATTAACCCACTCCTTCCCAAGGGAAAACCCATTCTTTAGTGATCGATCAGAACCAATGGCAATTCGGGGGAAACCCGAATTGCCATTTGCTCCAGCTGAGCAGTGGGAAAGCAGTAGTGCGGATAGTTCTGGCAAAGATAGACTCTTCACATCTGGGTAGCCAATGTGTTGGGAGTCCACCCCATATCAGCAAATGGTCTGGGATAATGGGAGCTGTGGTCCGCATTTGGAGGGCACCAGATTGGCTACTCTGGTTGCTAGGATGTGTGGGATGTATCCTCACTGAAGCAGTCAAGTACGTTTTCCTGTTGCCTAGAGTGGACACACAGGGGAATGTGGCTCCAGACAGGGAGGGCTTCCTGTCATTGTTCTGGAGCCTCCTCCCCTTGTGTGTTACCAGGTAGATGGGCGTGACCAACAGACCCTGTAAAGGGGCTAGCCATGCAGTCATCTTCCCCCTTTTCTCTTTTCAGACTTCTCTCTTGGACCTCCTCTTCTGGCTCTGAGCCAGCACATGGCTCATCCTTACAGAGGATGGAAGCCACGAGGTAGAACTTCCTTTTCCCTACAAATGTTAACTGTAACCACAAGATAAAGCCCACCTTCAGATTACTGCTGTGAACTGAATGTCAGTAAACTTTACTCTTACTTTTAAAGAAGACTGTTGTGTTACTATTATTCAAAGAGGGAAATAAAAGGGAAACTTACCAGGACAATCCAGACTGGATTGCTTAAGGCTTCTAACAAATCCATCAACTGTCTTCCAGCAATCTGCAAGGGAATGTGCTCTGCTGCTTTTTCACTAGCGTGAGTGCAGAGAGATAATATTTAATCAATATACCCTCTCCTACCTTTCTCAACATTCCCACAGGATGACCCAAAAGCAGTGCTAGTCAATACACAGGTATGAGGTCCATCACCTTGAACTGCAGTACTCCCAAGTTGTTTAGCTGACTTGGGGAGAACGCTCCATCTAAAGTCCTTTTTTTCTGGCAGCCTTTTGCCAGAAGAACGTCCCCAGAGAACATACACTATCAAGTTTTTGACATGGAAAGTATTTTATAGCTGTAAACTAAGTGGGACCAGGATCTGAAGGGGATACTGCTCCAAAATGGCTGGTGGAAATTGTACCGAAGTCTTTCCCTGTGTTTCTGGCAGCAGCAAGGTGGAATAGCCGCTGCTGGAATCTGTTCTGGGAGAGGAAAACAAGGACCTTTCCACTTCTTCTTAGCCCTGTGGTTCTAATGGTAAGTACAGTGACAGCATACAGTGGTACCTTGGTACTCAAACGGCTTTGCTCCCGAACAAATCTGCTCCCGAACGCCGCAAACCCAGAAGTGAGTGTTCTGGTTTGCAAACGTTTTTCGGAAGCTGAACTTCTGACGTGGCTTCTGCAGCTTCCGATTGAGTGCAGAAAACTCCTGCAGCCAATCGGAAGCCGCACCTTAGTTTTCGAACGTTTTCGGGAGTTGAACGGATTCCCAGAACGGATTAAGTTCGAGAACCAAGGTACTACTGTGCTCCTAACTTTACTCGGAGGTTTGTCCCGCTCTGCTCAAGGGAGGCCCCTTGCAAATGTACTCATTCCAATAGTCCAAAACAGGCTGCCTTTTCTTGAATAAGCTCAGACTGATGCAAACCAACCCCTATGGGAAAATTGACAATTATGGTAGATAACTGGCCCAAAAACTTAGGATCATGTTGGAAATAAACCAGCAGGACATACGACAATGTGTGGCGGTGCAACACCCAGCAGGAGGGCTGCAGTCCAGGGCTCCTGCCAACACTCCTGTCTTCCATCAGAATACCGGAAGAAGTTAGGCACTGAAGAATGCCGATTCTTTTCCTCGCATTTAGCTTTCCCCCCAAATGACTCAACATTCCATGGCTTGTGGACCCTCTGAACATGCTCAGGCCTAATTCTCAGCAGCTGGCAAATGCAAGTATGTAAATGTAGCTACGAAAACATCAGAAAGGCAACAAATTAAGGTGCAGGTTTTCTCAGTTAGCAGCTTAAGCAGTGTTTGAGGGAGGTAGATAAAACAGTTTACTAGATTAAATTGCAAGCAGCTACAACATGATTCAACAAGTCAGTTATTAAGCCAGAATTTTATTCTTAACATTGCAGATCTTTGCTCCATACATACAAGCTCTTTAATTAAGAAAATAGCTCGGAGCTACCGATTTTATTATACGCGTTAGCATGAAATGTAGAACTGTTACCAAGCATGAGTAAACTATCTGAGGCTGTGTTCTTACTCTGAGGAAAAAATGAAACATTAGTGCCATCAAGAGGCAGCTGACAGACTGCAAGAGAGAAGGAAATGAAAAAATTAGGTAGCCCTGGAAAACAGGCTCCAATCAACAAGCCGGAATGCCTGGATCTCTTTATATATTTATAAAGTCCAATTCTACTGTAGGAACCAGCAAAAAAATGACAGATGAACTGCATTCTAAGAAATTATGCTTTTTGTTTTAAAGCAGTGCAGTTTGGGGGCTTTGCATGGATTTTCTTTTTGCTAATATGACTCTCCGCCATCTTTCTTTCTGAAGTTCAACTGAAGTGTACACTTATTCTACAATTGACCATGCTTCTTTAAATGACATTTCCATTCTTGTTGTCCCCCCCACCCTTAAACTCATCATCCATGAACAGAATGGCTCCTTCTGTCCATCAAAAGTTTAGGATTCAGCAGAAGTATCCCGGTGGCTGAAAGGGAGGGGTAGACAAGTTGTTCATATTCTCCCACCCCCCTGCAGCCCCCAGACCACCTCCCATTCTGTTCTGAAGGGCCTTCCAAACCACTGGAATGGTTTTGGGAAAGTTCAAGGGGGAATTCAGAGAAGTTACTTTAAATAGACTTCTGGTGTGGTATTCAATTAAATTTTACCAAGACTGGACCCATTGAACTTAGTCACGTTCATTAATTTCACTGGAACTTCTCTAAGTAAAACTTAGTCGAATACCACTCTTTCAGGCTGAAACTTCTTAATGTAGGTACTAAAAGGTCATTTAAAAAATAAATCACAAAACCCTGATTTGGCGACCAGAATGAAGTCTTAAAGTTTGAATCATTGTTTTGTTTCCGGCTGGTCCCCTAGAGTCTAGATCAGGCTGGGGAATCCCCAAGTCACTGGACTGCAACTCCCATCTTTCCTGACCACTGGCAATGCTGTTGGGCCACAGTTTTCCCACCTATGGTTTAAACAGAAGCCTTAACTTTGGCCTGGGAAAGACTGGAGTTCAAGATCCACTTCTGTAAGTGCCACATGGTTTCTTACAGGCTTAGTTTTCAATCTGTAGAAGAAGATTGTTTTGGAGTCCCATTTTTGGCCCAGCCAAGTACAACTTTAAGAGGGATCAATTCTTGGTGCAGCTTTTGGGCCAGTTTTTAAAAAAAATGCATTTAGCACAAGTGTAGAACTTAAGTCATGTGTAGCAGAGGGCGAAATGAGTCTTCTCTCAGAAAAAAATGGCATATTCACTTGAAATAACAAAATGAAACACGGGTGTAGTCTTTATCTTGAAGCGCTTCACATATAAGTCAGTGCTGAAGCTCACACTTCTTCGCATTTGTGTGGCAGATACTGTGAAGCAGAAAGTTCTAAGAACCCTACCTAAGGTTTAAAGAGGTAGTCTAGACATAGGCTCCTGTGAGCTAAGTAAGATATTGCTTGAAGTTCTCATTGGAGAACACTTAAAATGATAGATTCATTGTAGCCACAACTTTCTCCATTCACTTCTCTTATTTATCTGAAGAGCACTGTTCAAAATTCAATTTCAGTGTGTGCTTCCATTAAGAGTCTCCTTTTTGGCATCCCTGCTCTCAGCTTAAGCTAGCAATGGCATTTAAATGAAAACCTTTGAGATAGATTTTTAAAGTAAAGCAACCACTTCCACATCAGTGCATCTGATAATTCACAGCACTTTCGCTGGGCAAAAAAAAAAAGCCATTTACAAGATGGCAGGATTTAAGATTTCAGCAAATTTATGGAAACAAAATAAGGGCTACAGTCGACATTTTTAAATCTCAAGATGTACAGAATCACTATATATACACATCAGGGTGGAGGACCTGATGCTGTTCAGACGTGGTTGGAATGCAGCTGCCTTCAGCATGACCAATGGTCAAGAATGCTGGAAGTTGCAGTCCAAAATCTGACATATATCAATAGCGATCTTGCATATATGTCAGGTATATTCTAAGCATATATCTTGGTAGGGTAGGAAAAACAACAACAATTAACACACAAATATATAGTTCTAAGCAGTTCTGTTTTTATTAGATCAATACTAATAGCTAATTCATCAGGGTTTACATTTTTCAGAGACTGCTCGGCATGCAAGGTTTGTATATGCAAACGGAGTCCTACTGCTACAAGGATTTTCGCATTTCCAGGCTAGAAGTCTAACACCCAACTCTCACCCCGGCGCCAAATCAAAATGTTCTAAACAGTTGATTGGGAAGGTAACCAAGGTGCAAGAAAGATGTCTGTGCCTCCTTTTCAAGGGATGCCAACTCTTGTACTGTAGGTGCCAAAATATCCACATGGCCTTTATAGGATCCACCTGCCAAAAGAACCAAAGTCTAAATTACACTTGTCCTGCCTACTTACGGTTGAGCTACAAGAGAATATTGATTATTCCCACCATACTTATTTGTTAAAAAAAGACCCTTTGCCCCCTGATGGATGTAATCTAGAGAGCTAATTTAGGATTGTGTGGTGGTCAGCAATGTTTCTGAAATAGTAAACCCACATGCTGCTATCAAATCACATTAGGAGATCTGAAGTTTCAAAACAAGCTTGCTGCTCCACTGGGTGTGCAGAATTCTGGGTGCACAGAATAATAATCCACAGAAAATGTGGGGGGGGGGGGAGAGAAAGAATAGATTCCAACTGACCAGAAAACCCAGTTCCCTATTCCAAAATGCAGCAAGATTTCTATTCAATAATTCTTCACTTACCTCCAGCAGCTCTCCTTTTCCCATAGGTGACTTTACCATCGAAATCATCTACTGGGACTTTTATATCTGGCTCAACCTGCGAAATGGTGCAGTTCAGATGCTCTTCTACCTCGCCCAGCAGCTAAGGGAAGAGAATACAAAGAAAAAGAAAACACAAAGATGGTTCTTGATTCTTCATGGCAGCAAACGCACATGGGAAGTCCACTAATGATCCAATGTTAGCCTCTAAAACCAATGCTACTGAAATGTAATTCCATTAAGAAACCTGGCCATATGATTAAGATGGTTGGGTGATGCACACCATTTTACTCATGCCACGCATGATCCGGTCAAGAAGCTAAGAATGTAAGCTCTGCTGAAATCAATGGGCGATATCCAATGTCTTCCGGGTATACGGCGGTATATAAATTCAATAAATAATAATAATAATAATGCTGCGTGAGGGAAATTCTGCCCACTCCCTCTGCAGCAGAATGGGGTGAGGGGTGGGGGAGAGGCTGCAGTGGGAAGGAGAAGACTCGCTGTGTGACACAATTGGATGCTACCCAATGGGAATAAAAACTTAAGGTGGACTGGCAGACTAAACTATTAAGACTATGCAGAGATGGTGAGAACGACTGGGAAATTCAGAAACCAGGAGGATCAAAACTTCAGTAAAGAATGGGAGAAATTCATACAATATCTTACAGACCACTGTAAACATCTGAACTCTTTAGCATGTCTTAAATAACTCTTGTAGCGTTACACAGACTTTAGATATGACGGAGAACTGAACAATTAGGAGGACTTATAGTACGCAGTTGAAAAGGTTAACTAAAGAACCCATGGAGGGGAGGAGGGAAATCCAGAGATTCGAAAGAATCTTGTGTTTTTTTAATTTTATTATTATTTGTGATTTTGAGTGTGAATAAATTTGTAAAACCAAATAAAAATGATAATTAAAAAATTCAAACTTAAGCAAGATCATCCCCAGCTTTTAGGAGTTAAGGATGGCACACTCAAATAGAAACATAGTCTTAACACAACCTTCTGCCACTGCATGCAATATTAAAGGCTAGCAAAAGTTGTACACGGGTGTTAGTACTAGCATTTAAAACCTTAAAACAGCTTGGGGAGCCTAGTATTCCAATGGCCGGAGTTTAAAGATCTACCAGGAACCCAAGTTGGCCTGATTTTAGAAATGCAAAGGAAGAAAGAAGGGCTTTTAGCGGTACTAGTGAAAAAAGTTACCTGCATCTCATTGTACCAAATGGTGCAACCACCCTCATCCTTCAGGCGAGTGTTATAGCAACCTTTTCCTCGACTGGGGCATGAGTGATACCAAACCTAGGTAAGAAGTTTGAACAACATATTAGGAATCAAAACCCATGAGCGTTTAAGCATTATTAAGGAACCCCCCCTTAAAACATCCAATAAAATTGTAGCAGTATCAAAATTTCTGACTTTGAGTTAAGTACTATGGAAATTTCTGACTTTGAGTTAAGTACTATGGAAAGCCTAAATTCTTAATGGCTATGTGGACTGTTCTTTGTGATTTTATCAGCCACTGTGGACCAACTTTGGATCTGAAAGGTTAGATATAAAATTAAGACAGTAAAAAGACAAAAAGATCTTATCTGCTGTTTATTCCCTCTATATATTCCCTATTTCCCTCTCAGGAAAGTAGAACTTACCTTTTCTTTTTCTGTTGCCACAAGAGAAATAGCCAGACCCATCCTGAAACACACATACATTTTAGTTAATAGACTCAAGTATAAAAGGAACAAAATGGGATAAGAAAGGTTTGAAAGCATACCGTTCAGCTCTTCCCACTCTGCCAATCCGATGAACGTAGTTCTGTTTTTCATCTGGAAGTGTGACGTTGATAACTGATCAAGGAGAAAGAGTAGACGCTGAGTTGTTAAAAAACCCTCGTTTGTACACAATTTATTTAGGTGAAATGATAAATTAAGGAAAACTCCATACATTTCCCATATTACGTTTTTCTATTACCTACCCCACCTGTTTGGCTTTTCCCTTATATGTGTAATGTAACCCAGGAAGGGCTAAGAGCATCAGACAGCGAATTCATCTACATCTATGTTGACTGGAAGCAGCTCCCCAGGACTTCAGAAAAGTTTTCTCCAGCTCTATCTAGAGATCCTGTGATTAAACCTAGTACCCTTTTCAGGAAAAACAGGTTCTCTATCATTGAAATACAGCCCTTATTCCAAGTTAAGCACTTTTAAGTTTTGCTGATTTTAACGTGAGAGAATCAGCCTATGCCCAACTCTCCCACTGAATTCTATGGGATTTATGAATGTTTACCTGAAAATGGGTTTGAGCCCATTTTTTTTTAATGACATCAAAGAGAGAGGAATAAATGGGTGTTCAGATTTGCCATCAACAAATAGCTACTTTCTAGTGAGAGTTTTCGGTTCTTACCATAAGGAACACCAGAGATATCAATTCCTCTAGCGGCAACGTCAGTGCAGATCAAGAATCTGACATCTCCTTTCTAAACAGAGAAGTTTGTTAAAGAGCCATGTATTTTCATTCACATATAACTATTTCAGTTTAAAGGCAAGGCATCACCTACAACTAAAAGACACATTCAAATGAAAGACATGGGGTCGGAGAAAAAGGTGCCTGTCTATGCACGAATTTAGTGCTTCTATGAATGGAAGGGCCTTTGACCAAATGGAATTGTTAACAGGGCAGCTGGTTTGTTTGTTGGATGGATGGATGGGTTGGTTGGTCTCTCTCTCTCTCTCTCTCTCTCTCTCTCTCTCTCTCACACACACACACACACACACACCACTTCCAATCCAATTCTCGAGTGTCCCCTTGCCCTCTGGAGATTTCTTTGGGGGGTTGGGGAGCAGGGAGATGACGAACTAGTGAAAAGAAGTAAAAATTGCATCCTGGACAGTACCAGGACCACCCTTTCCCTGTGTAGAGTTCTGCTCATGGAATCATAGAATATAAACCACTCTCCCCAAACCACACTACTGACAACACTGTCCTTATCTTTTTGTACCTGGAATCCTAATGTTTAGCCTACTGCAGAAGCTGCCACCGGACTATGACCAGATATGGGGGCAATATGGGCCCCCGTGGGTTTGCAGTTCCTGAACAGAAGTTATACTGACTGCTCAGACCAACCACAGTAGTCTTGGTAGGTAATACACAGATGCTTCAGGCTCACTGCTTAGGATTCAATGGGGCTTCACTGTCTGCACTGATTGTAAAGTATACTAGTATTATTGAGTGAATGTGTCAGTGCATATGGGCTTTGAATGAAGGCCAAAACTTTGCTGCAGTTTTACCAAAAGGGAAAGAGGAAATGAAAAATAGGGTATAAAATCTTAGGTAACAGCTCAGCCACATGTAATACTAGGAACAATTTGAACAGTAATCTATTTGTTATCTCCTCTTGCTTTATCTTTACATCTCCTGTCTCTGGTTTTGGCTCCCTCTTTTCTTTAAGGATCTCCGGAACTAATTATGCAAGATTATTGATTTTTGGTTTTCCCAATAATGATGATTGATTCGTATCATTTGCTGTCTGTTTTTCCTCTCTTTTCATTAGCTCTGAAGCTAAACGAACTAAGAATGAATGAACCATGCATTATTGAGATTTTTGTATTTTCCCAATTACGATGACTGTATTCTTTATACTGCTGTATAAAATAAATAAATAATGATCTAAGGTTACATGTAATTACTAGACCTGTTCACCCTTTTTCTAGCTGATTACTTCCTTTTTACCAAATGAACTGAAATAGATTGGCATATTAAATAACCCTTAAATATAGAAGCCATTTTAAAAGACTGAATAATAATAATAATGACTGAAAGAAGTTCAAGTTACAATTTAATAGGAAGAAACACAACTACTATTTGTGCTATGAAGGATATCTTTCCTTTCTTTTCCCTAATAAAAAGCTGTATCTCATAGCCTCACCATTTAAAATCCCCCCTTGAATAAATAATGCTTTACTAGGTTAGCCTATTCAACAGCACAGCTCTGACCATTACCTTAAAGCGCTCCAAATTCTGTTTTCTTTCATGAGGCTTTCTGTCACCATGCAGGCAGACACAGGAGAACTGATGTCCTTTCCTATCTGGACCTTAAAACCAAACAAAAGCAGTATATTAGGACTCTCATTGCTAGTTATGAAGAAGTATGAAAGAGAGCTTTATCCTAAAGCAAACGTGATGTGGCACCAGATTTAAAACAGACAGCTTGTCCTGGGGGAAAGATGGAATTTCTTTCTTTGTTTTAGTCTTACAAAAAAATCTTTATACAACCTTTGTATTAGATGGCAGTTTTCATGATGGTTTGCATGACACACTAAGCCAAACACTAAGCCAAACTTGGCAGCATAAAGGATCAGAAAGGCAGCGCATCTGCAAGTCAAAGTTTGGCACACTGTGTTGTATGAAGTGGGCAATATGAAATAAAATAGAAAAACGGAAAATAGAAAACCGAACAAATTTATAAATATGCTGACCAAACTAAGCGGCCATCCATTTCTAATTGCAGACTTCCTCCACTGCCATGCAAATTAACAGAGGAGAGTAACCACATATGAAGATTTTCTGGGCAAGTTAGTTTAATTAAGGAAAACTTTAAAAAAGTATCTCCAGGGTAATTCATTGCTGTGAGGGATGTTTTTTTAGAGGGCTGTAACTGAGATATACCACCACCTCTAGTTCTTTGAGAAGGCGTTACATGAACATAGCAGAAGCAGGAGGAAATCTAACCATTATGGAAAATATCCAGGATGAAAAACTACCATTTGGAATCAATCAATCAAACCTGGAGGAAAGATCTGCAAACTGGTATCACCTTGCAAATAGACAAAATGAAGACTAACAGGCATGAAATTACTACCTCCTCCTTGCTGCATGAAGTATTGTTCCATGTTATCACAATCTATCTTGGTCCTGCAGAAGATTATTGCTTGATCCATCTTGTGTTCCTTAATGGCCCGGACAGTGTATTCTCCTTTTAAAATCTTAATCGCTTCTGACCACATTTCTAAGGAAGAAGATAAATTATTCCTACACAGCGTATTAAGCATGCATACACTGAAAAATGACAGTTTATTCTGACACCATGTACAACATTGAATTGAGGCAACTCATCCTTCTAGAATGATAGCCATAGATTTCAACTATGTTCTAAAACTTAACTAAGAAATGCTAGTTAAAAGGTATTAACATTTTCCGTTGGGGGTGCCTTATCTTGTGAGATTTTTTATTTTATTTTACTATACAAATATTCAGCCCCCTGCCTTGGTTAACTGTAACAAGATCTTAGTACTGAAATAAAGTGATGTTGCTTTATTGATTCATGCAGCTTATCCTTTACTGAAGAACTTTGCTAAAGCCATTGGCTTCTACAAATACAAAAGCATCAAAGTTGGAAGGAACCCTGATGATCATCTAGTCCAACCCCCTGCAAAGCAGGAATATGCAGCTTTCCCTTATGGGGATCGAACCTGCAACCTTGGTGTTATCAGCATCACACTCTAACTGAGCTATGTGTGTACCAAATGATTGGTTACCTGCAGAGTTAGTACCAGGTCTTGTATTGTCCTTTGCATGCACCTCATCAGTCTGAAAAGTAAAATTAGAAATGTTAAAAGTGACAAAAGGCATTCAGAGCTAATGCAAAAGAATGCAGGGCTGCAAGAAAGCACACAGTCATTTATATTTCATTGTTTAGTAATCCTTTAAAAATAGTTATCTGCAGCCACATGGCTTTGTAGCCCAATCTTAAGGCTGAGATTGAAATGATGCAGCCAAACACAGGCATCCAGGTCTCAGAGCTGTTCACAACAAAAAAACACAAAACACATAATAAAAACAAGAGCAACCCAATAATCCCCTCCAACACATTTTATTTGAGGAACGGATGTCAATCAGCCACAGGGAGATCTGGATGTGAGAGGAGTCCACACCAAACCTCCCAACCTCAGTAAGGAACTAGGACATTATTACAGTAAAATAAAAAGGTTGCAAGGCCCACCACACATCCTACAATATGTCCAACGAGTTTTGAGTTCCTGAACTACATTTCAAGCTGAAACAGGCATTTCACAACAATGTTCTTAACATTCATAATCTGAGTTATGGAATCCCATTTCTTTTGTCCTTTATTCCACAATTCCAACTTAAATGTTTGTGTACATTTTGAAAATATAATCCGGAATTTAAAAAAATTCTGTCTATTCCAATATATTTTGTACTACTTACCCTGATGTGATTTTTACCAATCTTTTCCCAGTATTTGTCATTTTTGGGATTTACAGGGACAACAACATGGTGCACTGTATCTGGGACAGAATCCTCTCCTTTCAAATCTACCCAAGTGGGGAAGTGCATGATCTTTTCAGATAATTTCTTCACATCAAACGAATGCAGAGTTGCAGAACACACAATAACCTAGAAACAACAACAAACAAGCAGAGTTGAAAAGGGTAAAGACCTTTACTGTTGCTTGTACATGTCACAAGCCCCTCTGCAATTACCGTTCTCGACTCCTGTCAATCTGTAAAATTTACAAAATAAACCTCTTTTAGTCAAGACAAGTGCTGGCAGAAGCATCAGCTGCTCAGCCACTTATATCTGGTGAACTGGGAGTGATGTATGGGAAATCTTCACATTAAGAACTGAGGCATTTGGCAGAATGCCTAGGCAAGTCATTGTAAGGTACATGGATGCTTAAGCACAACACTGGGACATTGATGTATTACGGTCCACTGAAATGCAGACAAATAAATGAGTAAATGCAAAATCTTGTTACTGCATACTGTGTGTGTAAAGTCTTCCATCCATAAAGGTTAGCCTTGTGGCGCCTGAGTAAGAGACAGAAAGAAAAGGAGAAAGAAGAAGCCAGCAAGGCTTCTCAACAATCCTCTTTTCCCCTGGAAGTATGGATCAATTTCTTGCTAGTGTTACTTCCCTTGCTTTCGCTTTTCATGCACTGCCAAACAGCAGGAACCTGAGGACACCATCAATTTGAGTAGACACTTGGAAGTGTTCTCAGTTTTTGTTTACCCCCACACTATTTTATTATGAAATATATTATTTCAGCTAGAGCAATAGAAACTAAATTGTGCAAGTTCCTAGTTCACAGTGGCTCAGAAAACATTGTGCACAGTTTTTAAGTTTCCTTAGAGATGATGAAGCTTGAGCGAACAACATTTGGTACATACAACAGCTATGCTAAGTTTTTGGGAAAGGTCAACTAGGAAACCTTAAAGCGAACCTCTTACCTGCAGCCTCTTCCCATCTGAAGTTATCTGAGGAATCTGAGAATGAATTCTGTTTATGAAATCGGAATACCCCTGGCTGAGAAGGCCATCCTGTAGAAAAAGAGTATTACACAGTCTCATTAAGGTATTTTACCCACGTGTTTTAAAGCTGAAGTAAAAGTATGTAGTAGATCCAACTATTCAACGAACAGTCCTCCTGACTAATTACAGGGGTTCGATAAACCCATCAACTCCTCTGGTTGGAATGGCTATGAAGGTATTTTGACAGATGGAAATGTGAACAGGGGCAGATGGAAGTAATCCGCGAACCAGTTGCAATTCTCTTATTTGTTCTGCACTCACTTTGAGAGTCAGTTACAGGTAGGCAGCTGTGTTGGTCTGCCGCAGTCGAAACAAAATAAAAAAAATTCCTTCCAGTAGCACCTTAAAGACCAACTAAGTTTGTTATTGGTATGAGCTTTTGTGTGAATGCACACTTCTTCAGATACCAAGAATTTGAAGAAGTGTGCATGCACACCAAGGTATCTGAAGAAGTGTGCATGCACACGAAAGCTCATACCAATAACAAACTTAGTTGGTCTTTAAGGTGCTACTGGAAGGAATTTTTTTATTTTGAGAGTCAGATTAGACGGGGCTCAGAAAACCAAAGGTAGTTGGAGGCATACTAGGCTATTTTGAGTCACGGGATCTTGCCAGGACATGCAGGGTCCCGGCTTTCAAGTGCTTGTCTGCCCCCTGCATTCGCACTTAGACCAGAGTCCCAAGTATAAGCCACAGCACTGGCTGAGGGTTGGCATCCAGCTGATGTCTCTTCCCTTCTGTCAGGGAAGGAATTTTCAACAATTCCTTAACACTGCTGTTCCCAGGAAGGTCCAACAAGCGTCACATATTTTGGGGGGAGAAGGCTCCCAGAAAGAGGGGTAATTCATCAGTGCATGGGGTGTGTTGTATATAACTTTTTAAAATATGCTATTCAAAAAAGATGTTCTATACACTTGCAGCCTCATCCGAATGTTAGAAAGATGCTGGAAAGAAGTTATATGACTTTAGCAGAAATATTATAAAGAATTAAGTATGAATAGATTGACATTGGATAAAGAGGTAAATTTAAGTCTAAAATTGTGTTAAGTTAAACTATGGAACTAAATTTGTGAAAGAGGGAAAGGACTTGCTGGAATATTTAATTGAACTAGAATACAAAAAAGGAAGTGTGAGGAAGTCGAGGAAATAAGCAAATAAGCAAATGAAAGATAAGGATATGAAAATATGTGGTTCTTTTCTATGTTTGTCCTTTTTTGGGTTTTGCTTTTTTTGTTGTTGTTAATGCTTTTCTTTTTCTTTTTGTACTGTTGATGTTTTGTATTTTTGAATTTATTTTTGTTTTTGAGGTTTTGTAATTGTTTATTGCTCTTTTTTGTTTCTTTTGTTTTGCTTCTGTTTTTCTGTAATGTTTAAACTTCAATAAATATTTTATAATATATATATATATATATATATACACTTACAGCCTCATCAAGAACTAGGAACCTAACTTGCGATAAAGTCAGTTTTCCAGTTGACACGAGATCGTCTAGTCTTCCAGGAGTTCCCACAACTATATCTACCTGTAAAATGTAAATAGTGCAATAGTACACTGTGTCCATGCCAAAATAATATGAAAACACTAACATTTGGAACGTAGCCTAAGGAAGTATTTATCTTTCAAGCATTTCAGATTATGTCTGAAAGACACTGTGTACACACAGAAATTATTGCTTAGGTAAAACTTTAATGGTCTTTTTAAAGGTCTGTACAAATATTGCAAGAGAGGCATTAACGGTACATAGTGCTTTACAACTCTTTATCTCATTCATGATACTTAAAAAGCCACCATCAGCTAAACTACTGATTTCTCAACCAAAGGCTATATATTGCTCCTCATCTGCCTTCCAGACTCTTAACTGCTTTAATGCAATTTTATGTTGCTTTTATTTATTCCGAAAAATTATACACTGCTTTGCACCACACACAGTCACAAAGCACTTTCCACTTCAATAAACAACCCACCAGTTAAAATACCAAAACACAAGCTTTTGTGTTTCCATAGACATCGTGCAATGGAAAGGCAAGGGGGGGTCATACATTTTTTTTTATAAAAAAAATACGCCCTCACTACAGTTCATTTGTGCACCTTTTTTTTTTTAAAAAAAGAGATAGATATGTTTGTAGATATAATGAAAACTAAGAGCAATTAAAACTTACCCCTTGCTCCAATACGGAAAGTTGTTCTCTTGCAGCAACTCCACCAATAATTAGGAGTTCCCTGAAAGCAACATACATTAGATTACATTTCGTGCTGTGAAATCATCTTATCCAACCAGAGTAAGAGAAGAGCATGATTGTGTATGGAATCATGGGGATTTCAGGCACCCTATGACTCCCCCAGTCCCAATTTCATTGTACCTTAATTTAGGATTATCCACGTATTTTTTGAATTGTTTCACGTTGTTCAGAGTTTGCTCTGCCAGTTCCCTGGAAGGTTCCACAATCAAGGCTTTGGGAGCATTCGGCTGATTCTTTGTTTGTGCTACTTGCGCACTTCCTGAAATAGGAAATGTTGAGAAAATTGCCTTAGTCCTGAGTTGACGACTGGACACACATTTTTTAGCTTTTAACTTTATGTGATATGACATTTTTCTTATGGCGGCTCCTACACCTGAGTATCCCCCAAGCGTACCTGCATGCTGGGATTTCACAGAGTTACCCTCGGGAGCCTTATCAAGAGCAACGAAGCCATCTTTGGGTGGAAATTTAAAGTCTTCTTCGCCGAAGTTGAATTTCAATTCAGCGTTCTAAAAGAATACATAATACAGAAAAGCTTGCATAAAGATTGTCAATGGGAATTTATAGAAAAGTCACGTGATGTTTGCTGCAAGTTAGAGGTGAGGTGTTAAAACTATCCCTTTAAGGAGAAGCGGTTCACCTGTTTAGAGCATCAGTAAGGCAGGTCTCATCTTTATACACTGACAGCCTACTTGAAATAGAAAGGTATTTTTTGCCAGCACATTACTGAAGGACCTGGATCCAAAAAAGCCCTGTCGCTAGTTCCATGGAAGCTTAGGACCTGAACTTTCCAGCAGCACCTTTCTCATTGTGCCTCATGGAACTTCTTGAAGTTCCATAAGCAGCAACGCTTGATAAAATGGAAGGAAGGTCCAGCATGATAGAAGCAGAGTATGCATCTTTTTTAAATTGGTTAGAATGAGTCTCATGTGCTTTGGAAAAAGTCAGAAATTACCTTTAGGACACAGGCTGCAAAGAGTGCTTGGTTCTTTAAGTGCTGTGGGATTTCAAACGCAAGTCCAAGGTCCTTGCCTGGGGGGAAATAAAGCATTATGTTGACTGGTTTTTTATGAATTTAACCCATTACTTAAATGGGGGGGAGGGAAGTAGACCGCTTACCATTTTTGGAGAACATGATTTGCCCTTTATCAACATCTACATAACAGCCGATTGTGTCATGCATAGTGAATTCCTATCAAAATAAATAATGATAATAAAATTAAGGAGGTTGATTGAAAGTGGTATGTTTTACAGGAATATAAAGCATCAGCAGTTGTGTGGAGCACATTACTTATCACAATGGCTTTAATACTTTTGGCTTGGATACTGGAAAGTGCAGGAGTGCATTGGTAGGAAGAGATTTTCCTGCTTCTGGTCCCTCGGCCAGCCTCCTCCCTGCAAGTATATCCTGAAAAGAATGGCAGAGCCCAGAAGAGGTGAAGGCCATTGAAAATTGAGTAGAGGCACATTCTGTGAGCAGGAGCTCCCCTCTGCTCACTGAAGGTGCCTCTGCCCTATTTTCAGCAGTCCTCATTCTGCATCACCACAGCTCATCCAATTCAGGATGGTCGCCCAATTCTCAGGAGAAGTGTTTTTGTTGGGGGGGGGGTTTGCTCCTGGGTAAGAGGGACAGGAAAGTCTCCTTCCACCAACTCCCTTCTAACAGCACTTCACTGGATCCAAGCCTTTTGTAAAGAGGTATGGATCACACAAAAGTATTATACATAAATATTAAAAAATCAATAGAACAAATTTTATCTGTTATATTGTAATGAAGACAGAACTGCTACTGCCACTAAAGCTATTAGTTCATTCTCAGGCATGCTTGTTTTAATTATTGTTGGCCACTGTATCATTTTAGAAGGTGGATATAAAGTGAAATAAAGTATCTCTAATTATCAATACTGAATTTTGTTGGAGGTGTAAAATAAACTTGCAGAATACCAGTGCCCGCCAGCTTCCAACCCACACCGTGGAGGAGGTTTAAAATGGATAATGCAACTTCTGAAGACCTCTAGATAGTTTGTGTAAATTAGTTGGGAATGATGGACTTTCAGGGGAAGCAAAACCATACATGACTATTTGGGCAACTGGTAGCCACCAGAAAAGTCTCACTGCTGCAGCTGACACTCAGTGGCTTCTCCAATGAAACAAACATGAGCATATGATGCCATAGCAAGGATTTCCATTTCAGCTTACCACTGCAAACACTCCAAATGCAACATTTCCACTGGAATGTCAGAACTGAATGCATACAACCAACCCAATTCAGGGTGTTGTCGCTAACAATTACAATGGGTAGGCTATTCTCATGACTACCACATGCCCTGTCCAAGTTAGCTAAAGTCCAACAGTTATACTCCACAGAAAATTAATGCTCATTGAACCAAACATCACCATGCACATTTCTGTTAAAAGCATGTGTACTTTCCTCCCTTTGAGAGCTACACGAATTTAACCTACATTTATGTATTTCATTGTTGGTTCACTACAACATTTAATCATTCTATTCTTTGGTAAAATGGAAAAAGAAAAACATACCTCCCCATAACTATCAAACTGTTTGTTATGAGATTTCTTTCCAGTTCCACCATAGCCAAAGCCAAACTTGTCAGTACCTAACAACAACAACAAAAAATCATAAAACAATATAAATTATTTCTTTAAATATTAGAATCAAACAGTTCTCCACTATCTCCTAACTATACTTTTGGAAGATAAGCAAAAAAAAAATTTAAGGGTTCATAGCACAGCAGCGATCATGCTATAATGCAGCAGACCATATACTTTTTGGATTGCTGTCACACTAGAAATTTGCTGTCCTCTTTTAAAAAAACCATTTGAGAAAAGGACAGCAAAAGTTCTTTAAACTGTGCACTACTGATGAGCATCACACTGAAACTGGCAGAGGTTTCTGAACCCTCCATGAAAGCAGCCTCTTTCCCCAGTAATATTCTGCACCTCTTCTGCTGGGAGAAGTGAGGAACAGATTCCTGGTGAAAGGGCAACAAGGCTGCCAGTCTCTCACCTGATCCAGTGCTACACAGTTGATTACTTGCAGAAGAGTGTGGATGGGGATGCACACCCACATTCTGCCACAACTAGTGATGCATAAGTACTACAAAGCAAAAAAACTTGCCGTGAAGTGCTGAGAGACAAGAAAAGCCGCAATTCAGAGTAAGAACAACGAGCAGGCTTTGCTTACTCTGTTAGATCAGGTATTAAAATCTGACTGAAGTTGCTGTGATGTTGCCACAGTTATTACTGATCCCTGATCGGATGGTCACATAAGTAAAACAAAGGCTGAGAATGGTACTAAAGCAGCCACATATCAGATCTGCAAAAATGGCAGGCAATATTATTAAGGTAGTATGCCTGCATAGGAAAGCATATTCTGTGTCCCCTAAATATTTGAATGTCAAAATTTGGTGCAGCTCTGCAGATGATCAGTTTTAGATTATTTTATGGAATGAACATAACAATATTTTTTTAATGAAATCTTATGTCCTTTAGTCTGATTTCTAAGCTTGAGCAGAGAATCCCACACCCCAGCATTGTAGTTATTTCGTTGCAATAAGAAGGGATGCCCTTAATGAGCAAGAAGAATCAGTGACTGCTAGCAGGTAACCTAGATTTCAGCATAGTTCCTTATGTAAATACTCACCCAAATCTAATGACGCTTGCATAGAGGACCACCCGACTCTGCATAAACCCTGGTCACGACAAGATACTTCATAATAATATTTCCCTAGAACATTTTAGAAATATTTACATGTAACTAATTTCAGCTTTGCTAACTTTTCGATTCAGAAGAGATATATTTGACTTAATATTAAAAATAACCATTTCAACTGGCACAAACAAAAAGTTCTTTTATTCTCAAAATGAAGTAGCCATCTGAGTGATGTTGGCTACCATGTAAAAATGCCTGTTTGCCTAAATCTGTAGTCAGTATTCTGAAGGCAGACAAGAAAGTAAATGTTTATTCGGCGCATTCTTATTTCAAAAACGAACTTTACATATGCACACAAACACTGATGTAGTTTTTGGTACCTTTAGTCACGCCTTTTGTTGATCGGCATCCATGCCATTCTTTGATCTCCCTGCTTTGGCAGCACAGACCATCAGACCCAATAGCTGAACAACAGAAAAGACACATCTGAAAACCCCAAAGACCTCTTCCAGTCGCAGATACAAAATACCAGCTTTATGTAAAGACAGCAAACTTTGCAAAAAATAGCTGTGTACAAACTCTCGTAAGAAAAACAATGAAGCTATGGATATGTGTAATTATGTCCTTGTGTTGACGAAGTTAAAGCATCATCTGACAAGAATCAAATACAGTGGTGCCCCGCAAGACGAATGCCTCGCAAGACGGAAAACCCGCTAGACGAAAGGGTTTTCCGTTTTTGAGCTGCTTCGCAGGACGAATTTCCCTATGGGCTTGCTTCGCAAGACGAAAATGTCTTGCAAGTCTTGAGATTTTTTTTTCGCTTTTCGCCCCCTTTATTTAATCTGCTAAGCCTTTAATAGCCTTTAATAGCCTTTTAGCAGCTAATCCGCTAAGCCTTTAAGCCTTTAATAGCCGCTAAACTGCTAATAGCGCTAATCCGTTAAGCCGCTAATAGGGTTGCTTCGCAAGACGAAAAAACCGCTAGACGAAGACTCTCGCGGAACGGATTAATTTCGTCTTGCGAGGCACCACTGTACATCCTTCAAAGCTGTTCTATCAAATGTTTTGATTCCACTGAAAGTAGCTCAGAAGTTAAAACTGTAGCAAACAAGTTTAAAAACAGCAACTACTACTACAGTGGACGCTCGGGTTGCGAACGTGATCTGTGCGGGATGCGCGTTCGCAACCCGCATCTGCGCACGCATGGCATGCGATTCGGCGCTTCTGCACATGCCAAAGCACAATTACCGCTTCTGCGCATGCACGACTGTCAAAACCCGGAAGTAGCCCGTTCTGGTACTTCCGGGTTTCAGCAGTCTGCAACCTGGAAAAACGCAACCTGAAGCGTCTGTAACCCAAGGTATGACTGTACACCCACTTTCAACCCCCCTCAAACAACTCACATGGTAACATTTTGTAGACATTAAGCAAATTACAACTCCAAAGACTTAACCTATCACCCTCTCATGATCTTTGAACAGTTTTAAAATCTGCAATGGCATCTTCATATCACATGAAGATCTCCTCTTTTTTGTGTAAGCGCTAAGACCTATAGGAATATGTACCCCATGTCCAATCTGCTATGCTTATACATACTGTTGGAATTCAAATAATAATAATAAACAATAGTTGAGTTTCTCTAGTGACATCAATGGGGAAAATTTAATTTGGTTATATGTGCTGTCATTCCTCTAAAGATCAGAAAGGCAAACAGAGGATTTTCGGATCATCTTACCTCAGACCCAAGCCATAGTGGTGAAACGTACCTAAATTTTGGGCTTGATTTTCAGCTAATTATTGTTTCATTGCTAGAAAAGTTACTATCAAACTTACCAAAAGCAGATCCTCTGTCATATGGATTCATTTGCCATTTGTTGAGCACTGTTGAGAAGAAGAAGAAAAAACAGCTATACCATACAGTACTATGAAGTACCACAAGTCTATTTGTTGAACAATTATAGCATGTTTGACAGGTGTCTTCATATAAAACATCCCTAGATTCAAACCATTGGGATTTACATACTACAGAGGTAGGTTGGCAGGAGCAGCGACTGAACAAATGATGTTTGTAAAATTCAACTTGCATCAGGTTTCAGGTATTGGGACAGTGAATGTTTTAGAAAAAGGCTTACCTCCTCCACCAGTTTTTATAGTGGTTTTCCCCTTTTTGCCTTCCTGTTGGTCCTTAAGAGTTTCATAAACAATCTGAATAACTGGGATGCTGAATGCCTGAAATATGAAGTTGCTTATTTAAATTATACAATCTGAACCAATTGTTTTCTTCTAGACTCTGGTTTCAAAGTGCTTATGATTAAACAAAGGAAAAACAAATGTTCAGTTTCTGAGTACTCTATGTCAACATGCTAACAAAACTTTCAGGATCTATTGCTATTTAATGGAGTACTTTAAACTTAAGATAAAACTGTCCACAACCTGAATGTATACCCAAAAATTGTTTTATAGTTCAGAACGTAAATTTCACTTACACCAGTTTTTCCACTCCCAGTTTCTGCAGCCTGTGTAGAAATGAGATTTGATAAGAAAATTAAGATACAATGGTTACATGTACAGCAATTAAATCACAAGTTTAAACCCTTTGTGTTATTAAAATACTGGGAGAACTCTCTCCCATATTTATTGAATAATAAAATAATACTCAAACATACAGTCTGTTCTATGTGGGTTTCAAGAGTAGCAGCTAAGGCATAATGTGTCACATACATACAGAATAAAGAGCAGTAATTTCAAAGGGGATTTGATTTTATGCACTGTCTTCTAGCAACCTTCCTTCTTCATGTGCTCATTACTTCTGAGTAAGCATGATTATCATAGTGCTGCACAAATAATGAGGGTCACAGGGAACAATATTATCTATAAGACAAAACAATACTATCTATAAGACAGACTGTGGCAATATTATTTTACTATAATTTATATACTGCTTGCAAGTCAGAATGGCTTCTGGGTTTACAAATATACATACCATAAGTACATCACCACCTCCTAAAATTAACGGGATGGACTCTGCTTGGATATCTGTAGGAAGTCTACAAGAAAAAGGTAACAAAGCCCAAGCTGTAACAATGTGGCATTTATCAGGGTGTTTATAAAAGAAAACTTGATTTGCACAGTGCTGTGATACAAGAATTCTGTCTGCAATACTAAAATTAGCTTTGTACAAGCATTTTACAATCTGAATCAGATTTTTAGTGGGTGCTTGATTCAAACATCAGTTTTTCAGCAGAAGTTATTCACAGGTATTCACCACACAAGCACGGTAACTTCACTATCCCAAGTAATTTCCATTGAAACATGGCAAAATTTCCAGAAGCACCATTTGTGGTATTCTTGATTACAACTCTGGAAGGCTACACATAAATGGGTGTGTGTGTGTCATACTTACAACCAGTCCATCTCTTCCACAGCTTGAGCAATTTCTGGCATCACACCCATCTCTGCAAGAAAATTAAACAAACAGAAGTGTTAGCAGTCCATGCTATGAGGGGGAAAACAGGTAGGAGAACCATGTATGCCACCTTGAGCTTCTTGAAGGAAAAGTCACACTATATAAATGCAATAACCAAAAGAAGAAGAAACATAGCAAATCCTAAGTATGTATACTGAAAAGAAAGGAGAATTATATGCAGTGAGACTTACTCTTATGTAAACATGCATAGAATCATAGAGTTGTAAGGCTTGTCTAGGCCAACCCCCTGCAATGTAGCAATGTCCACTAAAGCACTCATGACAGATGGTCACCCAACCTCTGCTTAAAAACCTCTAAGGCAGGAGAGTCCCCCACCTCTCATGGGTGTCTGTTCCACTGTCACGCAGCTCTTATAGGCAGAAAGATTCTAACTAAACTCCAGGCAGAACTATTTCCTTGTAACTTGAATTCATTGCTTTGGGTCCTACCCTCTGCAGCAGGAGAAAACAAGCTTGCTCTGTCTTTCATGTGAGAGCCTTTGAGATGTTTGACAATGGCTATCATATCTCCTCTTTTCCATGCTAAATATACCCAGCTCCCTCAACTGTTCCTCATAAGGCTTGGTGTCCAGACCCTTGATCCTCTTGGTCGCCCTCCTCTGCACACATTCCAGCTTGTCAACACCCTTCTTAAACTGTGGTGCCCAGAACTGGACACGGCACTCCAGGTGTGGTCTGGCCAAGGCAGAATCGAGCTGGACTATTACTTCCCTTTGACCTGGACACTAGACTTCTGTTGATGCAGCCTTAGATTCGTTTGCTGCTGCATCACACTGTCGATGCGGTTTGCATATTTTATTAAATGTGCTTTAAAATTTGCGCTGAATCAGACTTGGCAGGGATGGTACTCTTTTGGACACAGTATTCCAGGTGTGGTCTGGCCAAGGCAGAATCGAGCAGGACTATTCCTTTCCTTCGACCTGGGCACTAGTCTTCTGTTGATGCTGCCTAGAATAGCCTTAGCCTTTTCAGTGTTTTCATGCTGGCAGCATTAAGATAAATTCAACAGTGTAAATAAGTGTTGATGGATGTAATACTGGAATACTGAACGGTATAGTTTTTGTAAAATATGCAGGGATTTATTATATGTAAAATGAACCATGGAAAGAGAAGCAGGGAAGTCATTGATATCTTAAGGACATATAAACAAGTACTTTAAATTGTAAAATTCGAAACCAGCATGATCAAGTATTCCAAAAGGAGTGGAGTAAATTTATATGAAAGATTATTGTAAGCAATTAACGTCACTAGCAGGGTTGTCTGAAGACTTGTCATGAGAAATTTTCTATCTTTCTATTTTTATTTAAATTTTGAGCTAATTTGTAATGAGTGCAATTAGAACTGGAAAACGTTCAAAATGCAGTGATATAAAGGTTAATTTTGAAAGCCATGAGGCGGGAGGGAAGGAAGTTGATAGGCTCTAAAGAGCCAAAGTGGTAAAGTGGATAATGATGATGTCAATGTATAATATTAAATGGGAAATTAAAAAATATATATATTAAATTGTAAAATAGAAAATTTAATGAAAATATAATATAGTCTTAGCTTTTATTTTATTTTGCTGCAGCATCACCACAGTTTTGCTCACGTCCAGCTTGCAGTGTCTACGAAGACCCCTGGATCCTTTCCACCCAGGTGTCCCCTTCCATTAGGGATCCCGCTGGATCCCAACCTTTCTGGGTCGAAAGAGGCCTGGCTCTTACAGGAATGAAGGGGCTCCCCGGAATCCGGGGGGGGGCTAGAGCTTTGGAGTCCAAGCGGAACCCAGAGGCAGGCAACTCGGGCCCCCCCAAGCTTCCGTTCTTCCTCCCGCCTCCCCATTCCCCCCAAGCATCTCCACGTACCTGAGAAGGCCGCCATGTTCGCGTGTCTGCCAGCAACGCCTGGGCACCGGCAAAGGGCAGGACGCGTCACTGGGCTCACGGCGCCTGCGCACTCCCCATCCCCGTGCCCACCGCTTTAGTCCTCCGGTCCGCAACGCCGGCCGCTCAGCCGAGGTTCCGCTCGAGGCAGCAGGCCCTGGAAGCTGCGCGTACAAACGCCTTCATTACAAAACCCGTTTACTGAGGAGCGAGCGCTGTTTGTTTTTAAGATGAAGGTGGCCAAAGCCGTTTTGCCTGCCCTGCTTCCTCGGTAACTGGCCTGTTCGCCAGCGTGCTTTCTTTTGCTTCCCCTTGCAAGGAATCACAAGGAGGAAACTGGATGGCATTTGGAAGGAACCAATGCATCGCCCGCTGGATGTGCCTTTTAGGGACTTATAAATGAAATGAATCCCAGGACAGATTCCACACATATGTGAAATTGGTTTTTTTTTACGTTTTGAAAAATACAATGGGTTTTGCATAGCTCCCTACTGTCATCTGGTGTCACGTTTGTATATTGCACTTTGCAACACATTTAAAATGTTTTGTTTGCAGCTGTGCAGCTGAGTCCTAGACTACTGGATGCTTGAGAATAATGCCTTAACAAGCCGATATTACACTTCTGTTGGCCTTTTCATGCCCAGAACCCATTTGGGAAAGAGAGCAAGGGTTGGCTGTGCAAGGCCAATTTCTGACCTGTCCAAACCACCAGTAACATAACTTGTAACTTGGATTCAAATTGTGGGAAAGGAGGTTTTCAAGCAGCTTGGATGGCCCTCTGACAGGGAGGTTTTCGCAGAGATTCCTGCATTGCAGGGGGTTGGACTTGATTATATCAATATATTGATCATATCAATTATATCATTCTATGAAAAACACCTTTCATAATCATATATTTGATAATATATATTGTAGATCAAATATGTGATTATATGTGTTTTGATGATACATTTTAAAAATATATCATTGCACTGTTTTGAGATTTTAAAAGTGTATAAATATATATATATATATATTATTATAGACTTAAATCTATATATGCATATACATATGTGTGTATGTATGTGTGTGTGTGTGTGTGTATAAATTTAGCGGGATTCATTCACACATTATTTAATATGTTAATATATAATATCTTGTATAACAATATAATACAATATAATATATTAAAAATAGTATATGTATATAAGCTCAGTGGGATTTATTCACACAATCTATCAATATATATGATATTATAACAATATATGATATGCTGATATAATAAGAGATTAAAACAGTGTATGTATATGAGCTCAGCAGGATTTATTCACGCATAATATGTTAATATATAATATATTGTATAATAACAATGCGAGTTGATACGATCCCGCTCAGCGGGATTTATTCGTATGTCAAATAGCACAGGACGTCTGCAGCCTCCACCACAACACACACCCCTGGTTCGCGTTACCTAGCGCTTCGCGGAGGGATCGTAAAGGGTTAAAAACCGAACGCCTCTATCGAGAGAGAGAGTTTTGTCCGCTGCGAGCCGCCGTAGCAGCTGCAGCCGGGGCCGCCGATGATCATGGCTGCTGTGCGAAGAGGCGAAGCGGAGACGGGCAGAGGCAGCTCGGAGGCGGCAATAGATGCAGAAGAAAGCGAAGAGGAGAACATCCTCTACGACTTGCTGGTCAACACCGAGTGGCCGCCGGAGACGGAGGTGCAGGTGGGTCTCCCAGTCCCCCCCAGGCAGCCAGGCAGGCAGGCAGGTACCTGCCCGGCGGCCCCCGGGGCTCCGCTGCCCAGCCACGTAGGAGGAGAAGGGACGCGGGGCGGGCGCCAAGCTGCCTATCAAACCAGTGGGGCTCCTACTCCTGAGCAGACGTGTCCTTTGGGGCATGGCCTTTTCTTCTTATTAATTCTTATTATCGTCTTATTATTATTTAATTAGCTTTTTACCATTTATTTTCAGAGGGTAAACATTTCCTATTCGTCTTTGTTTTGTTTTGTTTTGAATTGTATCGTATTGCTTTGCAAAGAGTTACTCAGGAACACATCAATTCAAAAGGAGTCATTCTGTTTTGAAGCTTAATTTTTGCAGGTTTCTTCAGCTATGGGTATTAAACACATAGCTGTCAACGTTTCCCTTTTTAAAAAATTATTCCGAATTATTATTCCTCGCAAGAAAAGGGAAAAGTTGACAGCTATGATTAAACATGTGTTTCTGGCCAGCTAATACTGTCATCTGCAAATGGTGTACAATAAGGTTACAAAAGATACAATAAAGATAAAATGAAACACAACAATAGAAAAGCTTACTTAACACGCTTGCTAAAAGTACTGGTGGCTTGTTTTTGTTTTGTTGTTATTGTTATTTTTTTGCAATCAACTGGTGCATAGATTTTATAAAATATATATATAAGCAGGGCCTATCTGAAGTCAGCAGGGAGGGAGTTCTACAGAAGTGGACTCACAATGCTAAATGCGTAGCCCGATATGAGCCATGCATCTGAAACCAATGGGGACCACTAGCAGAAACTAGTTTTTAGATATGCTGTAAGCTGCCCAGAGTGGCTGGGAAGCCCAGCCAGATGGGCGGGGTATAAATAATAAATTGTTGTTGTTCTTATTTTTTAAGCTTAATTTTTGCAAATTGCTTCAGCTATGGGTTTTAACCATATGTTTCTGGGGGTGAGGCATTCCAATCATCTGTTGCTTTTGAGATTGGGCAACATTTACTATTAAGATTACTGTTTGCTATTAGATACTAATGGATTGTGGAATATTGCTTTATTTGATATAAGTGGTTTGTTTTAAAGTTAATGGAGACTTTTTAATATATGGTTGCTATTAGCATTGGATGTTGTTTTTATATGCTTTGTAAACCGTCCAGAGTAGCAGGGGCAACCCAGTCAGATGGGCAGGGTATAAATAAAAAAATACTGTTATTGTTATCATTATTTACGGGAACTTGGTAAGTCCACTTTTCATGAAGAAGTGCATAAACTGCTTTAGGAAAATTGAAGGATTTCAATTTTACTTTCTGAAAATGGCAGGAAATGCTTAATAATTAATATAATATAACCACAAGTACTTGGCCATTGTTTTTAACGATTTCTATGCATTCCCACTTATCAAGCAAAACTAAATTATATTAATTATATAACCAAAATATATTTTGAATTCCCAGCCTCTGCTGGGATTATTACGTCTTGTGGTTGCTACCTACCACTGGAAAGTGCTTTCCATTTTCAAGACTGGTGCGAGTCTCACATCTGTGTTGATTTGCTTGTTCCTGGCCTCTTGCAAAAGGATGCGTGGTCAGCAAGCATCCTGAGGATGTGAATGTGAAATATAGAATGTTTTCTTGAATATGGACACTAGCCATCATTCTGATGTTTTGGTCTTCTAAGGAGATACTCACATTGCATTGTGTATTTCTGCTTTTCCTGGTTCCAGCTGAAGTGTGCTGTAAGAGTCAAGCTAGGTTTGGAACTTGAAGCATAGACCACCACTTGGAAGATACATACCAAATTTTATCAAAACTATTTTAATATGCAGCACTATGATTTCTTTATTATTTGAATTAATACCCACCTCTTCGCACAAAGGTGCCCAAGGTGCATAACAACAAGTAAAATAAAATATAGCATCAAACAGCCATATAAATGACAAAGCAGTATGTAAAACAAGCTGGTTGGTAAAAAACCTCAAACAGATCAATAAACAGCAAAATGTGTGCATAGAGAGTCTTTAGGATATGCACCTGTGCAAATGGGATTTTAAAGGTTGCTGGGGCTAGTGGTCTCACCTCTGTGCATTCTCTTTTACATTTAATTGAGCATCTGTACAGGATTTGTATCTAGATGACGTGTGTTTCTTTGTTTTTAGTTGCTCTAGTTTGCTAGTTGCTCTAATTTGAACATAGTGAGATTTACGATGCTGCTGCTTTGCTCCTCCCTGGTCCTTTTTGCTGCCACACCATGCAGTGCTAAGCCAAATTCCACCCAAACTGGGGCTCCTGGTTGAGGACAAACCTTAGCTACAATTTGAAGTTGGTGAGGCGAGAGCTGAACCATCAGCCCCCGGTTCAGACAACACTAAGCCAAATGTAGCAGCAAAAACGACTGGGTAGGAGCACTTCTTTCTGGGGGCACACAGAGTATCACTAAGCCAAAGTTCAGCTTGGTGTGTTGTATGAACCAGGCAGTTGAATGAATTTAATGGCACTCAGGACTACAGCTTTACAATGCAGTCTTCTACATTTTTACTCAGAAGTAGGCCCATCTATGTTCATTGAGACTTGTTCCCAGGTAGCATAGGATCGCACTGTAAGTCTCAATCCTATTCCAGTTTATCTGGGAGCAAATCCATTGAATGGTTCCTTCTGCTCTTTGATCAGGTCTAAGACCCAAAAGAGAAAGAACTGCTTTGTTTCATTCTATTTTGTAATTCCCCAAATGTGTCTACTAAAAGAATTCTACAGAAGCAATTCTATAGGGTGGTAAACAACATGTGTTGTATCCTCCTTGTTGAAAAATATTATTATCCTTGTACAAAATACTATTTCCACAGGACAACTGAGGCTTTGGCACATAAACAAACAAACCAATCATTGCAGCAGAGTTTATTTGCAATAACCTTAGGTAGGAGGGAGTGCATAGCCCAGTGGATCTTTAATAATCTTTCTTTCTTTGTTTTATTAAATTTGTTAGTTGCTTTATCTTGCCCAGGATAACCCAAAACGAATTATAACCAAACAAATAGACAATAAACCACACTTAGATACATTAAAATCAAGAGAAAAGAGAAACACATTAAAAACATCCCACTCACTTCTAAAAGGCCACTGATAGTTAAAGGCCAAAGACCTGATTATAGAGGTAAATTTCCGCCTGGCACTTAAAGGTATATAATGATGGCGTCAGATCAGCCCCCATGGGGAGAGCATTCCACAAACAGGGAGCCATTCTTGTGTTGCCACCCTCCAGACCTCTCATGGAGGAGACACATAAAGAAGGGCCTCAGATGATGATCACAGGGTCCAGGTCGGCTTGTATGGAGAGGGGCGGTCCTTGAGGTATTGCGGTCCTGATAG